ATAGTGTCCCCGTCACTATACTGGGGCATTAGGACCCACATGGATCGCAGGATGAGCGCCCCCTGCTGGCCCCACTAACACCTCTTCCAGCAGCAACCTTTGTTTTTCCCATTCAGGTACTGACCAGGCTCACACCTGCTTAGCTTCAGTGGGTTGCCAGTTGTGAGTTGCAGGGTGATATGGCTGCTGGCCTTTGTATTATTTACATATACTAACCAAGGGAAAATGTGTATCCAGACTACTTTTGTTTTCAAATGGCTTTAGTTTTGTCTACCTTATAATAATTATTAGCATGTGCAAATATCACAGTTTGAATTTACTGCAAGGATACCACAAGATTTTAACATTGATAGACACCATCTAATGTGTAAATTAAGCACAAGGGTATTACTAAATAGGTACATGACTACTCCAAGTCACCATAAAAACAATTCATATTTAATGAAGCATAGGCCATAAATACCAGCAATAACTATTTTAGTATTTTTTGCAGTTACTCAGTTTCAATTTAATATTAGTCTTGTTAATAGTGCACCACTCTAATGTGAACACACTATCTCCAATCTAGTTAGAAACAGCTCTCCTACTGTCAGTGAGATGAGGTAACCAGGTTCTGCTTATCTCACAAGGAAGAGTCTAAACAAATTGTCACAATGATTTGATTGACAAGCCTAATAGCACATTTAAATTATGGGCACCTGCAAAAAACAAACGGACAATAACAATAACAGGCTGCTTGCTCTTTTCCCATAGTCAAAATCAAGACTTATTCCAGATTCCTTCCAAGTAGCTTTTTAAATTTGCAAGTCCCATCTATAACTTTGGTCTTTCTGTTAGACATATGCATGCTTTGTTGCCATTTTTCTTGTGACTACTTATCCATTCTAATGATTAAAACCCTCATTATAATAACAAAATTAATGAACACAAAATAAATATCCACAATGCCGTTTGCCCGTCAGTTTGCCATCTGTTGCTTTGCCTAGAAAACTAATAGAATAGAGTGTAAGAAAACAAACATTTTTTAGTATAGATATTGTGGTTAATGATGCACAATATTAAAAATTATTAATGCAAACAAAAGATGATGAGTCAGAGAACACAATTTGCACAGACAAATATTATTTTGTACTAAAGAATTCTTGTATGTGCAAGTTCGCAACACTAATAATGGCCTGAGCTGCACAGCTTTGTTTTTGTAGACTATGTGAGAATTCCACAGTTCTACAATTTCCACTTCAGCATTGAGACTACGATATCTTTTATCAGAATATATTTGACTAAAGACCATAGCTAGAATATACTGTATTTTACATTGTGGAGATTGCTCAAATTAATTCTATTGGATACAATTATCTGGCTAATTATTATGTTTTTTTTAATGTTAGGTATTACTTTTTCAGCATTTTTACTAAAGTTATCTGGCTAGTTTGAATTTAATTCAACACACTATCTGATCCATTTGCCCAGCAAGACTGAAGTTTGACTGTAACTATAATTGTTTGCACCATTAATATGAACATTACTGTTAGCTGGATGTCTTACAAGTGTACAATTTAAACTTACATGTTGACTTTAAAAGAGCAATTGCTTCACGTTACTGACTTTAAGAGTACAGTTGAGTTAGGTTCTGTATAGGTTGTTGGATTTTGTTTTTATGCTCACCTAAATATCAACATTGATACTCTGCAAGGAACCATTACATTCATTTAAATATTACATTCATATGAACCCAATCTTACTAAAATCAAAAACTGGGAACTACAATAACTCTGCCACCTTACGTTAACATGGGTAAATTTCACTTTGATTGGCTGAGCTACTTTCTGACATCCAGCCAACAGCTGTCTCAAATGAACGTGAATAACAGCTTGTCATTTTTTTGGAAGGACAATTTCAGAAACACGGACGTTAGGTACAGGCATGTGTATTTTTGTTTAACAACAATATATTTGTGTGGGCATCAAACACCAGAGGGAACGATGAGTAAACAGGAGCAGATCACCAGAGGAGCAGGAAGGTTACTCAGCCAGAAATAGAGGCCCAAACTCAGCACATTCATCTAGCCAGTTGGAGGGACAATCAAAAAGTCAAGCAAATTTGTCAGGAAATGACGGAGTGGTGGCAAGAACACAAACAGATGCTTGGAACCTCAGCACTGCCTGCTGCTTCTGCAACATGGCAATTGGCAAGCCTAAAATGGAACTTTGCCCGATTTGAACTGATAGCAGGAGTTCAATATGCAAATTTACAAATTACATCCTGTCCCACAGTGTGTATTCTGTAATGATCTGCTACTTAAGATTGAGCTGTATTGTGGTTTGGGCGACAAAAGAATAGTCCTAGAGCTGGTACAGAATGAGTAGATGAGCAGGGAGGGCAAGGTAAAACAGTCCAAAATCCGAGGCCATAACAAGCAAGGGTCGAAAGCTGAGTGACTCAAAAAGAAAGCGTAGAGAGAAACCTAGAAGCCAAGGTCAGGAGGAAGCTGAAAGGTTTGTAACATAGGTAATACACAGTTCAAGGCACTGACGGAAAGTCCAAGAGGCAAGGTCAAAATTACAGCAGGGTTGAGATTTCCGAAATCAGAGCAAAGCAGAGAACTAGTGTAATAGAGAATTTGGAACATGAGAGGCACAGAGTACTTTATACAGAGGCCCAAAGACTGCTCAGGCTGACCTTAAATAGCTTGCTTCACTGGGACGCAGGGGAAAGGGTGATTGGCCACAGTTGAAACAAGCTTCCTGTCTGACTGTATTTCCATAGCAACCATCCTGACTGACAGGTGAAAACGTTTTGGTTGACTTCTGCAGGAGAATTAGCTTATTCCCCAGTGCTCCCAAGCTAATGGGAATGACACCTACATCTCTAGACATTGACAGAGGCCATGGAAATTCTAGACTTGTTGGAGCCAAACCATCCTTCTCCAGCACATTTCAGAATGCAAATGAAATTCAGTATATAAAATGAGTTCAGCCATGCCGCATAAAAGTATAGTATAAAATTATACTAGCTGGTATTGAAGAAAAAGATGCCTGATTTCAATACAAAAACACTACTGATCTGCCTAAGGATTTCAGGCAAGGTCCTCTGAGTGAACTGAATGAGATAAGTTGTGATGAGTTGCGACCTGACTGAGGTGATAATGCATTACAGTGATCAGCAGGCCATGGAACCAGGAAGATCCTGCAGGGAACACAAGTATTGGATTTACTCACCTGACTATAGAAGTCAAAGAAAAGTCACACTGCTGAGCTTTGCAAAACCCAGGCAATGTCCACCCATCCATCCATTTTCTATCCACTTCACCCATTTTAGAGTCACAGGGGAGCCAAAATCTATCCCAGCAAGCAATGGGTGCCAGTCCATTGCAGGGCAGACAAAGAAACAACCAAACACACTCTCACACCAGGGCCAATTTTCCCAGAAACCAATTAACCCACCAGTTGAGTAAATAGAAGAACCTGACAGAAACCAACACAAACATGGGGAGAATATACAAACTCCAAGCAGATAGCACCATAGGATCGGAATTGTATTCAGGGTCCCATTGCAGTGAGCAAGCAATGCTAACTACTGCACCACTCAGCCGTTACACCCAATGTTTCCTTCCATTAATACCTCATAAGTATCTTGTCCACATTCCTCAATCTGAAGGTTGGCCTCGAAATGGGCTGTATATGTACGTTAAACTTTGTGTAGAGCAATAGGTTGGGCAATAATTTAGCCCTTACGGGACACGTAGCATCTTGTCTCTTAAAATTTTACAAGGAAGACTCTAATTGCTTGAAGATCAGACTTTTCATCACAAAAAGGTTCCAGAGACACTTAATTTGGAACAGTGGTTCTATGCCAGATATATGACTAGGGACATATTATTTATCAGCCTTTGCTGCAGTAAGCAATAAATGAAATAAGAATGGGCAAAATTTTAAGGTATGGTCATGGTCTCCACTATGAGTGGAGTGAAGATGAATCATCTTTATAAGTGAAGTATTCATCTTTATAAGAGCTAGCTTTTAAATCACCATAATTTTTTTAAACAGGGAAACCCCCTTGCTCTCTGTTGAGTCTGTACACTGACTAAAGCTCTGTTCTCAGAGCTTAATATTTATATTTACCCTAAAAAATGAGGGATGATGAAATGAAAGAAACAAGGGCATTTTTGTTCCTCATTCTTCATGTGAAGATTCCTGAAACAGAAGTGCATTAACTTTGAAGGAGGGTTTGCTCCCTCTTGTGGCTTTAAGTGGAACTACGACTTTTTTAACTTTGTCTCAGTGGTTAAATTCACTTAACTATTCCATCCCACAATAAATAAACCCCTCTGGAATCTAACTTCTCCTAATTTACACTTCCACTAACAAGAAACCAAAGTAAGCATTGTCTGTTTAAATGCTACCATCTATACCACTTTCTCAGTAAATCAGTTCAACATTGAACTTTGGTTTTTTTTAGACTGACAACAACTAGAGACAAAGCAGGAAATATTGCCCACACAGCTGCAAGAAGCACTTGAGTATACATCTCCAACATTATTACTATGTTAGTGACATGCATCTAGTAACAGCAGATACATTACAGGCGAAGGAATGCTCTATTTGTTCTTAGAAGATGCTGACAAAGAAGTCTGCCCACAAAATTGCTCTTTTCATATTTTATTTTTCACCAATATGTTAATTCTAGCAAGGTTCATCCTTAAGCAACAGCCCATAATTACTAAACTGCACAAATGCAATTACACAAATGTTTTAAAAGGGTAAGCAAAAAGGGTAAGAAAATCACTTTTATTTCAAAATTAATTTTAATAAAGAAATATGGTGTCTTTTCTAAACAGGTGTGTGGTGAAATTATAACTAATTTTATCTATTTGTAAACTAGGTGCTCATATAGTTATACATGTAGCTGGAACATGCATGAAGTTCATGTGACTCACAAGGACAGCAGATAATGAAGAACCTTTGAAGTCTTTTAAAGAGATAGTTCCACCTCATTTCACCATTCAGCTTCAAGGACAATTTATTTAGTACATAAAATGGAAGATTATTTCTGGCATAAAACATGATTGCATGTCTGTATTTCTTTCCCAAATATTATTTAAGTCTATTTTTTAAATCCACTTTTCAAGTTGAAGTAGACATGAATGAAAACACAAATATTCGCACACATCAAGAATTCCACACATATTTGAGGATGTATTAAAATATTAAAATGCTGACTCCTGCCTACCCAGACATGGTTTAGTTAATAAAAGATTACTGAAAAGCTGTGATGAAGAAATACAGTAAAGCCATCTCTCTTTCTCTGACCTACAATAAAACAAACAGGGCTGCAACATTGTTCCCCAGTTCAAACATGTAATGACAATACCATATTGAAAAGATACAACAATACGTAAAATAATCCAGTGTCATGATACCAAGAAAACCACATTTACAAAACATTATACTTTCAACCTAACATTACAATATGAATTACAATCAGAAAAGATGTCTAAAAACTAATATAGCTCTACAGGTTTTAAAAATATTTTGGCATATTTTGTATTAAAAGTGTGCTATCAGAATGATTATATTGTACACTAAAAATACACTGTATATTTCTATAATACTCTTATATAAAACTATCTTTACAATGCAGTACCAGCTGATGACTCAGTAAGGCTCTCGTTCTACAGCTCTTGTGACAGGTTGCTGTTTAACAACAGGTATTGTTATATTTAATTTCTTCTCCCAGGTCTCTGTAATTATAGTGGCTTTGTGCTCACTTTTACATCACTGCCTAGGCTCTTGCCTAAAAAACCACGACAATGTGTCACTGTTTAGCAATGCAAAGCAACCCAACGTCTTTTACTGTGCAAAATAAGCCTTCCATTACAGTGGTTTTAATTCTGATTTATCTACTACATGGTTTTTATTTGGCTTAAACTTGAGTTTTTTCAATATTGTCACAAAGACAGACTGAATCCTGGATTAAACAAGGACTGAAAAGTAGAACATTGAAAATGTCATTAACACAGATACATATATGCCCTATACATGTACACATTACTAACCTTCTTCTGCATCACGGAACACTGGAGTCTGATGCCCACAAACGTGTTTGCATTGCTTTTATTCCAAAAAAGAAGCTCTTCCAACGGCAGCAGCAAATATCTATTTTGGCACTCATGTCTGCATTGCAGTTCCCATTTTACTCTCCAAAAGACTTGTTTTTGTTGCAAAAACTAATTTCCCCCTTAGACAGATTTTCCAAAATTAAGAAAGTAAAGATTAAAATGAACCCTTCAATTTTAAAAGAAAAAAAACAACTACTATTTCACAGAATGCAGGTCAAAGTCACTTACTGTAACTCTACCAGTCTCTAAAGAATATTGTTATTTCCATGGGGTTAAAGATGAGGTCAGAGTTTTTAGCTATATTCCCAGTTCATGAAATTAACAAGAATGTTGCACAGGTGTTCGCTATACCTATAAGGAACCTTTGCAACTAATGCAACAATAAATCACAGGACCCTAAAACAGGATGCCAGGGTAATGTAACATTCAACCAAAAAGCATCTAAGTAGTGTCCCATATCTCCTCTTGTTCTTCACAGTAATTTGATCATCAGTTTGGAAACTACAGTACCAACGAATCAGGCATCATACTGCTGTCACTTAATAAAAAGCAGCAATTTATACCAAAGCAGACCTAAAAATATTTTTTTAACTGTAAAACCATCTCCTGTTTCTTTTATAAAGTATGCACACAGTAGTCAGTAAGAAAGGTAAACATCTTCTGGACATCTGAATTGTCACTTGACCCTTGATTAAATGTGTAAAAGGAAAGCATTTAAGGAAAAAGCTTGAATTCTAAGAATTTATTCTCTTCAAAAATTAGTCTGACCATGGAGTTTCTGAACATCTTGCCTGATAACTGGGAACTTTATAGCTTCCATGAAATGGAGAAACAGAAAGCTTCTCCGGATACTTTGAAAACCTCAAACTACAAACCTTTTAATTCCCTGCAATGGAAAAAAATACTGGTTTGTTTGGTTTGATTTTTGCATCTTTTCAAAAGATTATGACCAGGCACTAATTAACAAACTAAAAAACAAAGTCAATCAGGGTTCTCAGCATTGAAGAAACTTCTACCACCAGCAACCACTGATATATTCAATACTAATAAATTATTAATAAAATATCAACTTAATATTGGAGAAATTAAAAAGTAATTATTAATGGCTATCGAAGTCTAATACACAGTGACAGCATGTGTCACTCCATATGATACCGTTGGATTCCAAAAAAAGGCCAAGAAATACAGCATCTTTTCAACACAACAAGCAGTTTACATGCGATTGAGGACTGAAAAGAACTGGGACTGGCGCCCTGCCACCAGCTGGTCTTGTTTTTAAAACTAATATAAAACTAATGGATGACTACTTAAAAAAAAAAGTTAGAGTTAAACAACAGTTATTTTCCAGACATGGACCAAGGCATTTTCTGAGGTAACTGTTACATTCACTTTGTTCTTTCTTCAAAAATGTTTTAGAGTTGTGCCAGCTTGTAGCAATTGTTTCCTATCATTTGGTGTTTGCAGATTTTTCCTATTCAAGTTTTATTGGACTCTCTGATTCACTCTGGTTTAGTTTGTCTGAAACTAAACGTGAAACATTAGATTTATTAAAGCTGCAAAAAGATGCCTGACTTTTTTAGACTGATAACATTTTATAATATTTAGTCTTCTCTTCAAATGAAGAATACAGTAAATCCTGGTTCATGGCATTGGAGTTTGACTTTCTTGATAGACTGAAAAGCTGAATCAGAAAAACAATAAAAAAGGAGCCATTAAAGTTTTTACTTCATTATAAGGTATAAGTTTGTGAAATAATCACGCGTAGGGGACCAATATTCCAAAAACGTACATCCCAGCATGAATTAGTCAAGTGCAGAGGCCAACTGTATTTTTTAGTAAATTTAACTATTAAAGTTTTAAGCAGACTCAATGACTCTCCGTTAAAACCAGGGTTCAGAATGAGAACTTAGTAAATGGTAAACTACCTACTGCTTCCATGTACAGTATTGTGTTTTTTCCAGTTCCTTATAGACGTTCAATTGTTCTTCACCCATTTTACTGTAGGATAAAACAATAAGACATCTCCTATCCTTTAGGCCCTGCCTAAAGCTGACTCATGTACAGGCAACTGAAATGTCAAACCTTCCTTTTAGACAAAAACAGATCAACACAACCTACTCAATTGAAAAAGCAGCCAGCCGGGAAAGATGCAAGTTTTCATTCAAATTAATGCTCATTCAAGATTAACTGGAGGACGTCACCAGGTAGTGGAATAGAAATCTCTACAAAGAGTCTAATTTCTTTATATGTTCAGTTGGTAGTTCATTCACCAGCAATTCGTGTTATTTTACTAAGGATCAAGTGGTGACAAGTTGAAAAAAGAAAGGTCTTCACACAGGAACCTGGAACAAGGCGAGGTGAATGGCTGGCGAATGGCACGGCTCTCCTCCAGAGTCCAAACCGATGACCACAGCTATACTCTTCCCACCTTGGCGTCCCCGATGGCTCCCCACACATCAAACACAAACTCATCAGGAAACGCAAAATCTCCCAGTGTCTCATCGAGCGCTTCTGCAAATTCGTCCGGGTTCCTCTTGTCCTTTCCTAGCTCTACCATCGTGGCCGCTGAACAGAGGAACATCATCAGTTAGAAGGACAAGCAAAGTCTATTTCATTAACATATAGTGGGGTCTATCCCAGCTATGCTTTATTAACTAGGTAATTTCTACTTAATTTCAGTTTCTTAAAAGAGGGAGCAGCAAGTTTCTAAGAATTACCAAGGCACATCAAATTCAGCCTTCTACCATTACAATCAAGAAACACACTGAAAATTACTTTACAGACATTTGATCTTTATAATATGGTAACCTGACTTTTTTTAGCTCAATGCCAAATGCTATTAAAACTATTCAAATTGGCAAACAGTCATTAAGGCAGATAACTTTATTTAGAACAGAGAAACATAATTCTAGTCCTTGATACCAAGAAACCAACCTTGACATATTTTCCAAACTATTAGTTCAATTAAGTAATTAAAAATTTGCCTATCCCTCTTACGTATCTTATTATTTAACTTTTATTCCTTCGCCTGTATGTATGAACATCAATTAGTGCCTGGTCTATGTAACAAAAGGTATTTTATAATAATTATTTGCTTACAATTGAAGCCCTCAATGTTTATCGGTGTCTCATATAAGGAAGACATCCTAACCCACTAGTAGAGGCTGATTTGAGAACAATTGCAATTGCAAGTGCAATTTAACAGTAAGTCATCAATGGGTAATATTAATTGCACACCCATTGCCATCTTTCCATCCCTACATAAGCTGTAGACAACTTGTACAAAATATAATACAAGGCTAACTGTAGATGGAGATATGAGAGGATTTTGGATCACAAGAGACACTCAAAGGATCACATCTTGTGTACCATGAACTCAGATTTCCTTCACAAAAGACAGTGAAAAAACTCAACATCTGCAGTTAGGTAAGACATCTGATTAGGAACTCAATCTGACAACAGTCATTGTGACCCATAAGATTTTAAAGATATGCAATACTAACAGCAGCTTTTAGCAAACAGCTCATGGCATTTCATAACTGCATTGAGAAGCAGAAGCACTCACCCAGCTCACAATCTCGAATTCCCATGTAGCTCTCCAAAAGGTCATCTACCTTCTCAATGGCTTTCTCTTCAAAAGCAGATGGCTGGAAAACACAAGAAGAGATATTCTCATCTCTGCAAGAGGCTCCTATTTGCACCAACATTCTGTAATCAACATCCATTTTTTCCCCACCTTAAAATCTCTTTATGCACAAGGTTGTGGAAGCGCGGATCAAGCTACTCTTCTATGTGGCTGAAGCCAATAGCCTGGCTTCTTTCAAGAAACAGTTAGATGAGATTCTCGGATCAAATAACTAGCAAACCATGTGTCCGATGAACTCTCTGTCCAACAGACCTCATTAAATCTGGTTTATATTGTAATAAAGACCTTCATACTGCATACTGTGGGCAACTAATCTCTAGTTGTACTGTTTTCTGCACTTGCGTTGTCTTGGGTTTCAGAAAATACCTGCTATTGGTAAACAGTCATGTTTAGTCGCTCAAGAAAGATGGTCATCTCAGAACATGCTGAGCAGATCTTCAGGTTTTTAAAGCCTGTATTACAGTTATGCAGTTTAACAAAGAACTTCAGTTAATTTATAGAAACATCTGGAAAATCTTCTTATCACTTTGTATTAAAAGACACAAAAACTCATAATCCAGGTTCTGAATGATCTCTCGCACAGTTCCAAAGCATAAAAAACTGAAAGGACAATTTTCACAAATGGCAACTAGTTGACTGCAATGTCAAATTGGATACAATTATGTAGTTGGGAGAAATATAGTTTTCCCCAGTAATATGATAAGAACAGACTAATGAAAGGTAAAAAATGTCATCCTTTCTGTTTTTCTTGTTTTAGGTTTTAGGTTTTAGGTTTTGTTGCAGGTGTCTATGTGGTCCATTCGTTAGAAGAAAACAAATGGATTATGTTTAACAAGGTATTTTACCCACAAAAGCTGGTGCCTTGTGTCATGAAGCTTAAGTTTGGTCACAAATGAACTTTACAATAGGATAAAAATAGAACATGCAAGTCATCTGTAATGGTACAGTACAAGCTGGGAAAAAAAGGACATCACAAGTACAAATCACGCAAATGTGTGTGGAGTTTGCACATTCTCTGCAGGTCTGTATAGGATTCCTCCCACCACCCACAGATATGATGGCTAGGTTAATTGTAGAGCTGGACCAAGGTGTTTTCAGGATAGACAGAATACAAGTCACTACATAAAGAGGGGTGGGTGTCTGGAGCAAGCGAGTCATGCTTTAGATTTGTTAAGAAACAACTGGATGGAAGCACCTGAGTGGCTTAAAAACCGTAAAGAACCTTTTTCAGCCCTCCAGCCAATGATCCATACTGTATGTCACTAAAGCCGAAGTTAGATTATGTGCTGCTCCTTCAAATTCCATCAAGTGCATGGAAGAGTGTAACAATTTAAAGGACGAATGGCTCCAGCAGGCAAGAAAAGTAATTCTTGGAAGCTGATTCTAAAACAGGCAGTTCTAAACAGGGCATTTTATTCCAGGGTAGTGAGGTGTAAATTTCCACTTTTTCAGCGAAGGCAGACACAGCACTCAAGAGTGACCCCTGTCCTTCAACTCACCAGATCCTCCACAGTCGCAGGACCTTTGGAGCGCAGACGCAGCGTTCCCCGACCCGTTCCCAGCTGGGAGGCAGAACTTGATCTGCCACCTCCCGATCGCTGGCTGATCATGTCTGGAAAACAAAGTCCCACAAGCTCTTCAGTTTCTGTTCTGCACACTGCCTAACTGTAGGCCAAGCAGTTTCTAACATGTGTTGCATGCGTGATTTTTGAGGCCTTACAAGTGCACAGGTCACTTTCACAGCAAGCTACATCTCAAAGCTCTGGTCAAAGATTATGTAGTTCTGGACTCCAGACCAAAGTGTCACAGGTTCATCAAAGATGAGCCAAGCAACATATTAATCAATTATGATGATGAAAATACTAAAATAACCTCAAAAACACAATTCACTTCATAATTATTAAAATGATTAAAATCAAAATTGAAAAACCTTTGGGTTATATTCGATTCTGGCTTAACATTTGACCCACATGTACAGCATACTGTCAAAACATCTTTTTTTCACCTTACAAATATCGCAAGACTACACCCTATGCTATCATTAACCGTGTCTGAAAAGGGGATCAACATATTTGTATTCTCTTGAATTGACTACTGCAATGCTCTGCTCTCTGGGGTATCTAAATCTACTCTGAACAAACTGCAGTATGTCCAAAATTCAGCAGCCAGAATCCTGACCAGGTCTAGTGCAAGTGTTCACATTACACCTATTCTGGAGTCCTTGCACTGGCTTCCGGTCAAATTCCACGTAGACTTTAAAATCCTTATGCTCACCTATAAGGCTTTACATGGCTTGGCACCTCAATACCTGTCTGAACTTTTATCGACCTACTCCCCACCTCGCAACCTCCGCTCTTCAAATTCTGCCCTCCTTACTGTCCCCAAGCCCGTCTACATTGTATGGGCGACAGGGCCTTCTCCTGCTATTCCCCCAAGCTCTGGAACTCTTTGCCCAAGGAGAGTCACCTTCTCTTAACTCCTTCAAATCCAGACTCAAAACCTTCTTCTTCAGAAAAGCCTTTACTTAACTGGTTCCATTCTTCACCCCTCTGCTCTTCTTAGTACCACCTTCCACGGTCTCCTCTATTGTTATTGTTGTATTGTTGTAATTGTGTCTTATCTTGTGAAATCTTCTTGTTTATTGTTGTAGTCTTCTTATTTATTGTTATTGTAATCCTGTAAAGCGCTTTGAGAAGCCACCTTTAAAGGCGCTATATAAAATAAAGTGTATTATTATTATTATAAATGCACATGGACATGAGCCTACCAACATGATAAAATGAGGCTCAGGATAACTGTGTAAATTATACAATTTTAGAGCTCACATTAATAAAAATTATAAAGTATGGAAATTTACTGAAACATCTTTTGATGTTTGGTTTCAAAAGGAAAAAATAAATTAAATTACGTTTTACAACTTCATTTTAATCCAACTAATAAAGCATTTTGACACTTCTTGTGAGTTTTTAGCAGTCTCTGGGTTTACCGTCATGAAATAAGTAATTTTGGAAACATTTTACTACTGTAGGTAAATATTGTTGTTTATCTTTTATCCTTCCTTCTGTGAAAGTTCTCGCATTTCAATCTTTTAAATTAAGCACGACTATATTTTTTAATACCAAAAACTTCCACCAGATGGAGCCCTTGTTGCTCACTCAACAGTCTGGGCGATACGCGGCTTGATTTTTCTTTACTTTTGGGATGCATTTTCCTTTCTTTATACACTCCCAAATATGGATTTCCACTTCAGCGCCGTACCACCAGGAGAGATGTAAATGACCTCACCACTACTGCAGTGGTAAATGCCATCCCATAATAAACCAATTCCATAATTGCACGCATTGTCTTACTAAAAAAGTGAAAAATGTGCTACAGGGAGGCCCCCTTTTGAGAACCAACTATCTTTGATACCCATCTCGGCCCCCACACTTACAAAAGGTTGGTACTGCACTTGTGCCTTAACAGGAGCAATTCTTCTGACTGGTGAAACTTAGATTTTACTTCAAATAAACATATAATATTAATTAGAACCAGTAAGCTTCAGCATGTGATTATAAAGTGAAACTTCCACACACCTTATATTTCTATTGGTACAGTTTCAGCTTTTCTAATTGTTCAGTTTTGCCACACAGCATATCTCACAATTAATGCAGCGATACCTATTACAACTAAAGTAATTACACAGAACTGTGGACTCATAAAGGTAAAAAAATAATGTTTCCATTATTTACAAATTAGTAGACTGAGTACATTTCTTGCAAAGAAAAGAGCAACATTAAACTCCTGTGGTCAGTTAGCATGGCCAAACACATAAATGACAGATGCACATAAAATCCTCTTCAATTTAGGTGTCACTAGCACTACTCGCCCTAAATGGCATGTTATATAAAGATTAGGAAAACTAGGCAACTGATCCATTAAGCAAGTAATGTTTTAATTAATGGTCCACAAGGACAGGTCCACAAGAGCTGAATGACAGTTGGACATTTGTTCCAAATGATCTTTAATTTGTATCTTTTTTTATATGATCTTTAATTAACTTTAGTAGTGACGATTTCATGAACTTCATTAATAATAAAATGAACACCATAAGACTTCAAACACAATCAAATAAGCTGCAAAAAAGTCTAGTAAAGAAATAAAATGAGCACCTCTTTAGTGTTTTTCAATTAGTTAATGAACAAGAACTCAATAAATTAATTATTAAGACAAAGTCAACCACCTGTCCGCTAGATCCCATCCCCACTCAGCTAGTCAAAGATTCCCTCGAAGTACTTGCAGGACCTATAATTAGTATAATGAACACATCCCTTGCCATCAGGTGTTGTACCTGATAAATTTAAGTTAGCAGTTGTTAGACCGCTCCTTAAGAAGTCAAATTTGGATCCACAAGTTCTTAACTACAGGCCAGTCTCAAACATCCCATTTCTATCTAAAATTCTTGAGAGAATAGTTATGGCCTAACTGCAATCGTATCTGGATTCAAATAATATAATTGAGAAATTTCAGTCTGGTTCCGCCCAGGCCACAGCACTGAAACTGCATTAATGAGTCGTAAATGATATTCTGTTAGCTACTGATGCGGGGAATGCAACAGTGCCTGTGCTTCTAGATCTTAGTGCTGCCTTTCACACGGTTGACCACTCTGTTTTGTTAAACAGGCTTGAGTTTGAGGTTGGCTTATGTAGAACCGTACTTAAGTGGTTTAATTCATATTTAATTAATTGTTTTCATTATGCTAAAATATCTAATAATTGTACTGCTTCTTCAATGTCACCAATTCAATTTGGGGTACCACAGGGATCAGTGCTGTAATCAATATTGTTCTCTCTCTACATGCTGTAGGATAATACGAAAACATCATATTAACTTTCATTCATATCCTGATGACACTCAAAAATACATTTCATTTACACCCAATGACAACTCTTCTATTATCACTTTAGTTAATTGCATTAATGAAGTAAAGACTTGGATGTGTGAAAACTTTTTGTTACTCAACTCTGATAAAACTGAGGTTCTGTTCTTTGGAGGAAACAATACTGATAGGACCACTATAACTTCAGCACTTAAGTTAGATACAAGGCTCTCATTTAACTCTCATGTTAGAACAGTATTGGAAACATGTTTCCTATAGTTAAGAAATATTGCAAAACTATGGCAGTTTCTCTCAACTCAAGACACAGAGAAACTGATACATGCTCTTGTATACAGCAGGTTAGACTACTGCAATGCCCTACTATCAGGGAGCACCCACAACTCTTTCAATACCTTACAGCAAATTCAGAATGCAACAGCTAGAATTGTTACTAGGAGCAGAAAGTATGACAAATAACCCCTATACTTGGCTCTCTTCATTGGCTTCCTGTCAGGTACAGGGCAGGTTTCTAAATCCTTCTACTTACAAGGCTCTCAGAGGTCAGGCACCTGTCTATCCAATAGAACTGTATACCATCCAAGTCACCTGCTTAGATCACAGAATGCAGGTCTTCTTCATATTCCACGCATTACTAAAAAAACAGTTGGCAGTAAAGCCTTTAGTTACAGGGCTCCTACCTTTTGGAACAGTCTCCCACCCCATATTCAGGATACTGAGTCAATCTCAGTATTCAAATCCAGACTGAAGACCTATTACTTCAGCCTAGCCTACTCACACTTTACATCATAGCCTGCTGCAACCATGGCTGCTGGTGCCGCTGTACATGCCATTGTGTGTCTCTATGTTGGCCCATCAGGTAGATACATCTGTTCTGACCAAACTATCCTATTCTCCTCCCCACATTGGATAGGTACCATCTGATTTGGATGCTGCATCACTGCCATGGATCGAAAAGGGACATTGTGGATATAGCTATCGTTTAGGAGGATTTTGCTGGTCTACAAAGATCTGCATGGAGTACTGACATACAGAAGACATGATGGATGAATGGACTAATACCCTCATTCATTTATTTCCTTTTTTTAACTTATATAATGTTAGCATGCCCAAAGGGGTTGGGCAGCCAGTTGACCTTGGACCCCTAGAGGTTTTTTTTCTCCTTACTAAGTATGGTTACTTGCATTGTTAAGCGCCTTGGGGCAACCTTGTTGTGAACGGCGCTATATAAATATAAACTGAATTTCATCTTGGTACTCCAGTTTCTTTGCATAGTCCCAAGAAACATTGGCAGGTTAACTCGCTTTTGGGAAAATCAGCCCTGGAGTGAGTGTGTTAGTGTTTGTGTCTGCATAGAACACCAGTTCATTGCAGGGCACACACAGAGTGTCTCCTGCCTTGTTCACGTTGCTTGCCAAAACGGGCTCTGGCTCCCCCGCAACCCTGTATTGCATTAAGACAAGAGAAAAAGGATGTATCTTTAAATTACTTACCTGAACACAGCAATAATCACTTCCTTTCTGTAACTGGACTGAACTGAAAATAGGAATTTGCTCCTTTTCTCCAAGATGCACACACACGCAGATCTATCTCGGCACTCACCAAAAGCTTTCATTGGCTCCACCAACTTCAAGGTGAAATTCTGTCCTTTGGGCAGCTCCTTCAGCATCTTGGCCACCTCGTAGTGCCGGCAGCCAATCAGGCCTTGACCATTAATAGATTCGATCATGTCACCCACATTGATCACCTGAATCCTGTCAATGATGCTGCCTTCTCTTATTCTCTGTAAAATAAATATTTTTGCACACATTTAAAATTTCTTAAAAGAGTTTTTAAAAGGTATCTGAATAAGAGTATAGTCTGGAGTACATCAAAAGGCAGGACATTTGCAATTTATGGTAATGTACAGATACACACAGATAGCACCCCAGGTCCGGAATCGAATCCAGGACCCCAGAACTCCAAGGCAGCATGCTAGTCACTGTACCATCATGCCACCCCGCCTGCATTATAAAATCATACGAATAAAGTAGTCCCTCCCCCAACTCTTCTGGGTCATTCAGTAAATTGCATTTTTGCTACAGCATAACATTTAAGATCTGGTACTGCACCACACGCACACACGGGAAGAACAACAGGTTTTGTGAATACACTGCAAAGCCCTTTTAAAAACCGTGCCTGAAACATCTGAATACCCCCGTGCTAGGGAAATATTCCGCTTTTCTTAATGAAGACAGAGGGTCACTTTGGATCAGGCGTAGGCTCTACCACTGGGGACCTGCTGAGGAAACAGCTGAAACTGTGATGAAAGGCCTACCTTGATGAAGGCATACCCAGCTCCATTATCAGTAATTGTGAGGCCTAAGGCATCCTCGCTCTTGAACACTTCCACTTCCTTCCGCTGGCCTTGGATGTGGGCAAAGATGAAGTCCTCAAGCCCAATTTGCCCCCCGAGAAGCTTGTCCATGTCTACCTTGTGAGTGTTCAGGGTACAGAACATCACCTGGACAGAGAAAAGAGTAAGCACAGCTTGAGATACACAGCCTCCAGAGCCCTCCAGGTCAACTAATCCTTCTACATAATACACTTTAAAATGCAAATGGTCTTAAAAAGACTTTTAAAGCAGAGTTTATGACAGACAAATGTTGTGGCACACCAGACTGCTCCCCACACACAAGTCTCCAGCCCAAGCTCTTATTAATATCATAAACACTTTTTTCAATTTTTAATCTGAGTTTTCCACAAAGTGCACAGTCGCCTTATTCTGGCAGTAACTGATGACAATGAAACACCAAGCTGTTTTTTTTTATATTATGTCAAACTTGAAAAATGTAACACACACCATTTTCAGAGTGTGCAACATAACACTTTGGTTACTCCCAAAATATATAAAAACACTTGCTACTGAACTATATCATAAAGCTTTAAATAGTAACTCAGAACAGCACACTTTCTTGTTAGTACAAAGATTCTGTGCTATCCATTTGTGGTGTCCTAAAAATCTTCTTTCATGTTCTTCCTATACACAGCATAGCTAGGACGATACTGCTATACTGTGATGGGTATAGCAGGGTATGGTCCTCCCTTGTACACTGAGATGATCGCTGGGTTACCGCAACCTTGTTTTCACAGATAACTGATACACTTCTTATTTCCAGCAAAGCATATAAAAAAGAGCAAGCGGTTGAAATCCTCTGAGCAGTAGCCCGAGATTAATTTCAATTAAGAAGTCCTCAAACCCTGCTGTCATCCAGGAGATTTCTTAATAATTAAAAATGGGCTATAAAACATGATGACATACAGTACAACTACAAATGGCATAGTATGTTAATTTGATTAAGGTGATTAGAAGTGTCAATGGTTAAAGTTATGGAATATAGCTCCAGTAGATGTTAGAACAATGCAGGTTTGGAAACAGCATGGTGAGGAAGTAAGAAGAGAAGCCATTTCTTGCTAGAAGAGCAATGCCCTTCCATGGAATGCAACTCACATGGACACCACACTGAGAAGAGCCCCAAGCACCTAACCCCTAAACCCCTAACCTGAACCCTAAAGAGTTCAATAGAACCTGGTGATCTGAACATAAGTTAAAAAAGAGAATTTCTGCAGATACATTAGTTAACCATATAACAGACTTTTAGATTTAGATCTTTAAACTGTAAATCGCCAAATCTTGCACAATGTGGAGGTTTATATACAATATGCTACATATAATACAACTGCAATTAGGTACTCAAAGGAATTCTTCTAAATGCTGTTTGATAAAGGCCTTGGATCACTGAGCTTCTTCCAGCCACAATGAGGTTATGTGCCCCTTCTACAATTTTTGTTCCCTTCTCCCTCCCACCTCTCAGCAGAGTAGACAGCTCAATATAAATGATAACCTCCTAGGGTTTGGCCTTATACCTTTTTCTTCCAGGATAGGCAATGTATTTCACCAAGAATAAGTGACTTTCTAATGATGGATGGCTCCATTCCATATTTCATAAATTAAAGAGTTTAGGTCAATCCACACTGCTTATGGAGGAAACCAACTTTTTTTACATCATTTTCTATTTCTGAAAATGTACTCAGAACAGATCAGAAATATTTACAGCTAGGCGCTCTTTTACCTTTCAAACAACTTTCCATTCACGAACTAGGGCTGAGAAAAACAAATGTTGCATCTAAAAGTTAAGGACATTTAGACTGACTCTTAATCATGGGTTTTTAGATATTTGTCACCTTCGTTTGCACATAAAAACTTTGGATGACCCAGATTTGATAAATAAAGAAGAAGTCAGCAGAGAACAAGTCCCTACAGTAAGTTCCTTAATTAGCAATGATCAAGAGAAAAAAAAGCTCAACTACTTCCGCACACTGCTTTGGAAAAGGATTCTTTAGTACCTCTTATGTACTGCAAGTATTGTCCAAAATGTGCTTACCCATGAACACACATTCTGAAAAGCTAGCTAGATTCCAATCAATTTCAAATGTCTCCCAGTATAAAAGCAACAGTACTGTTGAACGGACAGCCCAACCAATTCAAACTGAGGTATGAAAAAGACCCTATAACTGCACTTATACAGCACTTTTCAACCCTAAGAATCCCAAAGCATTTGGTCTACATCATCAACCACTTAGCACCCAGCAACCACCTGACTGACACACAGGACACACTCCATGCCCACAAGCTGAGAGTGAAATTTAACCAGGACATCATGGTTAACCTCCTACTCTGATAAACAGTGACTTTAGTGGAACTTTAATGACTAAATATTAAGGACCTCGGTTTAATCTCCTAAAGTTTGTCATATTCAAAGACAAACTGTCCCTTGTCACCATTCATCAGAAGTCTCCCATCTAAGTATTGACCAAGCTCAGCCTTGCTTAGTTTAAGAAAGAAAATTCCAGCCACATGGTGAAAATACTGCTGTTATTACAAAATAACTTCCAAAACATGTGTGCCATGGTCGGGAGATTTATATAGAGAATCTATTGAATTACACTGTATAAACCTGATTCAGAAGGGAATAAAGCACATTTTCACTGATTTCTACATGTATGTTGAGAGTTTTGGGCCTTCCTGTCCTATTCAATTAGTGTCCTTTATAGAGACTTTTATAAGCTTCTAACATCACTATTATTGTGAGATGTTTCACACACTACATCTTTCACAACAACACTATACACCAAAGGCTCTTTTGTTTAAAAAACAATGTTGAATACAAATAAATGAATATTTACTCGTGCAAAGGACTAAAAACATGTATGTATCTTTGTTTCAATTAATTTAATATAATTTATGTGCTTTTAACTTATAAAATGTTACCCAAGATTCCAGTAGTACTATATGTTTGAATAATAAGAATTTTTCACTTGTAACCATAAGTACATCATTTATAAAACCATACCTCTTCTCAGTGCACATACTGTAAGCTCAAATGAGCTGAAAATGTAGCGACAACCACATAGAGAACTCACATGTGAAAAATTTACACTAAAATACCTTCTAATGCACATTCCAGTGCCTCAGCTGTAAGCTGTATTTCACTCAATGTTCTTTCTCTATCAATCACAGCAGTACTAGAACTTGGAGGTTAGCACATTTTGAACAAAATGTTTGGTTATCACATTCAAATTATGTAAAACAGTTAATAAGAATTGATCATATACATTTGCTTTTTAAAAGCAGTGGTAACCTTACCAATGCTTGTAGATTAATTACATTTTCTTAACGCTTGCATGACTTTACAGAAGAGGAAAAAAGGTGTTTGCTGGTGGTCTTTTAAAACAAATCAAATAGAATAAAAAATAGAACAATAATTGTCTACAATTAGGATAAATCTTTATTTTGTAGAAACCAACCATACATTGTATAATTCCACATGTTTACTTATGAGAGTCTTGTTTTTGCAGGAGAAAATACATACAAAATATTTGAATAGCCTGATGAAAAGGTATGAAGAGGTTATAACTGTCAGAAGTGGTAAAGGTTGTGACAGGAAGGCAGGGCTTGGCCACAGATGACAAGTTTCCAACATAAATATCTGCTGTTCAGTGGCCACAAACTAGTACTGCAATTTCACAGCCATTTAACATAATTATTGGAATTATATAGTCCAAGAAGGAAAAAGAATATTAAAAAAAATTTGGAAGGTGTTAACCATTTGTACCATCCTGACTAAGCATTTTATGGTACTGTGCATTGAATTAAATTAGTCTTTGTAACTTGGAAGTGTCTTAAGTCATAAAGGAGATGCAAGATAGCATTTGATACTAGCTTGCTAACCTGCATTATACTACTCAGCATCTAACATTAAAACAATTGTAACAAAGGAGATAATACCATTTCGTGTATGAGAAACATCCCTGAGAATCAGCTACAGTATCATTAAGAAATGTGATATAAAATATTCTATTTTCTGACTCTGCTCACCTCTGCTGCTGGGATCCCAAAGGCTTCCCCAATTTTGCTGTAGAGCTCCCGGACATTGCTGAAGCCTTCTATTCGCCCAGTTGGGCTTCCATGGGCCAGCTGAGTGTGGAAGACCAGCCTGGGACGCAGGCTTGGGGGTGGGGGTGGTAAGCCAGGCTGGAAGCTATGCATGCTCTCGGCACTGCCCTCCAGGCCTGGCACATTCATGCCCGCTCGGATCGGCTCAGCCTCTTCATTCTCCACCAGAGGCGAGGCCTTCTTCCTCCTCCCAAGACCAAGTGGCATGGTGCTACCTATCAAGTCCAATCGCTCTTCCCAGGCAAGGAAAAGTCCTACGGGGCTTAGACAGGCATGGGTCCAGCAGCACTGATGCCAGCTGGACACAGATCACTCCAAAGCTGCAGAATGGAGAAGGCAAGGAGACAAACCACCTCGATCATTAACCACCAGCCAAACTGTATTCACAAAGGCAGCCCACAGGATTTCACCAGCATCCCAAGCACTTGCCTGAGACTGAAACAGACACATCAACTAGAACAGAGCCATGGTGCATTGTAAACTACAAACAACTCTGGAAAGTGCTGGCAAACAGCAGTGAAGTTAGATTCTGGACAGACCTGAAACAGAGGAAGGAGAAAACAAAGAATTACCTAACAAATTAGGAAATCAGCATCATCCCAAATATAATAGTTCACACTCTAGGAGAAGTAAAAGAACTTTTATTTCACTAAGTTTAAAATATCTGTCCATTCTGCACGACCACAAAATCCCAAACACATTTCTCATGCTCATTCTGGCTTCAACAGCATGTATTGAAACTTTAGTGCAATGCATCTACAGTTGTAAGAAAACCTTTGTGAACCCTTTGGAATTATCTGGAGTTTTGTATGAATGGCTCCTAAAATGTGATCTGATCTTCATCTAAGTCATAATAATAAATAAAGACAATTTTATTTAACAAACAATACACACAACATTTTACATTGTTATATCTTTATTGAACAAATGCTTTAAACAATTAAGGTCATTGATGGAAAAAGTATGTGAACCTCTAGGATAATTACATCTTGAAAAGAGGGCAAATTCCAATCAGGTATTCCAATCAATTCAGGTGTGGGTTTGACCTGCCCTGCCGTATAAACGTTTGGTTACCCGCTCTTCATAACAGAATTCTGTTGAAGTGCAATGTGACCCGATCAAAAGAGATTTCAGAGGACCTCAGAAGAAGAGTTGTTGTAGTGTACAGTATAAGATTGGAAAGGGTTACAAAAGGATTACTAAAGACTTGGGCCTCCATCAGTCCACAGTCAGACAGATAGTTTACAAATGGAAGAAATTCAGCACCATGGCTACTCTCCCTAGGAGTGTGAGTCCTACAAAGATCAGTGCAAGGGCACTGCATACTGTACCAACACCAAAACCTAATCCCAAATGTGAAGCATGGTGGAGGGAGCATAATGGTGTGGGGCTGCTTTGCTGCCTCAGGGCCTGAACGGCTTACAATCATTGAGGGACCAATGAATTCCAAGTTATATCGGGAAATTCTACAGATGAATGTCAGGCCATCTGTCTGTGACCTAAAACTCAAAAGAGGTTGGGTCATGCAACATGACAATGATCTAAAACAAAGAAGTAAATCAACAACAGAATGGCTCAAATAGAAGAAATTTCGTATTTTAGAATGGCCAAGTCAAGAGTCCTGACCTCAGTCCCATTGAAATGATATGGCGTGATCTGAAGCAGGTCGTTCAATCAAGACATCCCAAAAACATACATTAACTGAAACAGTTTTGTATTGAGGAAAAGGCCAAAATACCTCCTAACCTCTCAACAGATCTGATCAGCAGCTACAGAAAGCATTTGGTTGAGGTTATTGCCAATAAAGGAGGTTCCACTAGTTACTAAATATAAGGGTTCACATACTTTTTCCCATCAATGACCTTGATTGTTTAAACCATTTGTTCAATAAGGATATGGCAATGTATAATGTTGTGTGTGTGTTTTTGTTAAATGAGACTGTCTTTACTTATTATTATGACTTAGATGAAGATCAGAACACATTTTAGGAGCCATTCACGCAGAAATCCATATACTTCCTAAGGGTTCACAAACTTTTTCTCACAACTGTATATACATGTTTAGTGTAAAAACATGGCATGACTTAATAAAACTAATGTCAAGATCTTGCTATATCCAGCTTCTTGTCCTGACCTGAGGCCAGGAGACATCTATTGCCATAAACCAGTTCTGGTTGCATTCCCTTTCCTGGGGTTAGTAGGCATTTTACTTTTTTAATATTGTACACATAGATACACATAGATATCATGCAAATCTACAGACCAGTGTGGCAGCAACACAGTAGAAGCCTTGTTGGTCGTGCCCATAAACACTGATAAATTGTGGCAACTGGTTATGATCTGGAAAGGGTTTTAGGGTCACAGGGGAAGGGAGGAAGGAAGAAAATAGCTTTTTGTTATGTTGTTGTACTGCAAGCTCACCACTCCGAATAAAAGCTTTGATGACTACAGTGAAAAGTCTTACCGTGATCACTACATCACTATGGCATTTAACAAAAATGTTTTGCTTGCCAAATATCCAGGATTTAATTATATAGACTGTAAAGTCAAGCAAGGATTCTTAGACGAAACACCGTATATTCTGTAGCAGAAGGTAGCTCCTTTGAGGTTTTGAGATACAGCTGACATTTTTTTACTTTTTTGTTTCACAGTAACAACTGCATATTTTATCACAAGGATAAAGTGTAGGTCTTTAGACACACTATACAGCCCAAACATACTTGTAGAGGTGCAAAAAATGGTTACATATTGCTGAACCAGAAAAATTGTTAATATGTTCTTTTATCTAAAAAAGTTTTGAAATTGTCACTTTGAAATTAACTTTATTAATAAGCTAACAAAAATAACTGTATGATTGGCATGCATTTTGGTAAGGTAAGCAGATTTTGAATTATGAATTCAATTATTGAATTAGATTATTGAATCCCGGTAAACATTTAGACATCATAAATGTTATCAAATTAAAAAACAGGCCTCAGATAAAATCATACAGCCCAACTGCTGTTGTATCAGCCTTTCAAAAATATCAAACAACATTAATAAGAAATGAAAAAGATTTAGAGCACATGTAAACCAACTTCTGGACAAACAGCTACAGTATCTGCTCATGCAGAATAATTCAATTGTAGCAGTCCTAAACACAATAACAGGCGTGTCAGGTTTTCTTGGATATGGATGGTGCCCTGTGTTAGCATAAACATAAATCTGCCAAAACCTTCTGAAAAGGCCAATGCAGACTTTCTACCTTACTTCTTATCAAGTACACACAAGTTCTGAATTTATACCAGCACATCTTAGACTAAATGGTCTTCTCTTGTCTGTAACAATTTTGGACACAGTGCCAGTCAGGAGTATTCTTTATAGATCTGTATAACTAGCATCCACATTTAAACCACCTTACTGTCAAGGACACAGAACCTCAATGTTCCCAGATAATTTGCCAGCAGATAGTGGTGATTTTCAAGGGCTTTGAAGTTCTCCTCTCTCTTAAAATGTGAGAGCAATGAGAAACAGCTTGTGCAGTTCATGTCACAGCTGTTTCACAGGTGCAACACCAAATGTTCAGTCACCTAAAAGCTTTTTTTAGCTAGAACGTGTCAAAGAACAACACCCCTACCCCCTCGTCCTTCAACTGAAAGACATACGTTCCTTTATGATTTTGGCATCTGATTTATGCTAAATTGTTTTCGCGTAGAGAAAAGAAACAGAGGGGGAAGAATGACAGTTATCTGTCACTGCGTGTGAGTAAATGGATTTGAAAAATAATAAAACATTATGTTACGTTAAACTGGAGTAGACGCGTAGCTAGACATGTCGAATTGTTGTCCACAGATCTCCTGCTGATCTGAATTTCCGACCGTCTTTGCTCAAGGCGACTGGACACTAATGTGACACACAGATACATGGTATCCGGACTTGATACGTGACACATGCTCGGATACTTAAGTCCCAGACCGTTTTGAGTCCATATTAGTCATTTCCGTCGAGAACTATGTTTTAGAATTCTTTCTCGTAAAGTGCATTTTTCGCACGTCAACCCTGTGTCAAGGTTTGGATACCACACAAATTATAACTGACGTATCCCTATGCCCTTTATCTACGGTAATCTTAATAATATTAAACAAATTACGATGCACTGGATCATAGAATGATCCTAATTAAGTAGCAGTGAACGCTCTCATATAATTATGGTCAAATTTGAAGAGACAAGAGAACTTACCTTACTGTTCCTCTTAAAGATCTTCAGTTTAAAAACCAGGCATTGACTTTGAATGACGGACTCGCGAAGACCACTTTAAGACAATATTTAAGCTGAAAAACATTTAAATTTTACAGTTTAAAAATTAACGTCCACAGATGACGGAAAAACAGTTGGCTTTTTAATTTTAATTATTACTTAAGTACAACTTTAAACATACTACTGTATCACAACAGTGAATTATTATCATTATTTTTAAAATAACAGCTGTTAATTAAGACACACCCCTGTCTCACCCAGTTTACAAAGCACAGCAGACCCTGAGCAGTACGAACCGATCCCCGCTGAAATCCGACGCGCCCTACCGGTTAGATGACCTTTCCGAGACCCAGAAAGATACACACAAAGCAGGACAGTAGACCCTCCGAACCTGTCAAGCTAACATCTGGGTCATCCTTACCGCGTCAAATGGCAGCCGGAGCCAAATGCTCAATCGCACAGGGAAAGGCTGATAAGGCAAAGCAGCAGGACTCATGCGGCAGGAGGGACGTACTTTCCCACGGCCAACCAGGACCATCTGAGAGCTTCCAGAGACCAATAGCACCGGGAAACTGGGGGGATTCATGCGGCCGTCGCTCCCAGCCAACCAGAACCTTCCCAAACTGCTCTCTCCGCTAATCAGAAAAATGCTGTGAAGCGGGTTAAAGGGTAACCAATGGTGCAGGCATCGCTAGGGAGGATGATATTGGTCCTTTTTTTTTCGGTTCTGCAAGTAAAAGTTTAACACCGGATCTCTGCATCGTTGAGTCTGATCAGTCCTTGGGGTACAGAACTGGTTTAAACCGGGACTCGGAAATGAAGGAGGCATTAGGGAGCAGTTCTGTGCTCCTCTAGATAAGAAAGCGAGACTAGTTTGGGGGATTTATTTTCTGGGCTCTCCTTTACAGTACGTGCGTTTGTACGACATTGATCTGAAAATATTTCGCTAAACTTGATCAAAGACAAAAACCGGCGGTGATACTACAGAAAGAGATTTACACGGCAAATTGATGTTTAATAAGAAAATAAATTAATTTACACGAATAAAAATTAAAAAAGTGTTTGTTAGTCCTGTGGGGTGTTCGGAGCAAAATAAGAATATAATGATTAAAATTGTTGCTGTTTCGTAACTACAAAGGACTGCGATAAAGCAATTAAAAAAATACTTCACTCATCAATTTATGCATAGTACCAGGAATTGTTTTTAAATCATCCTAAATACTATTAAAGCGACTGATGAATTTAAATAAAAATTGCATAAGTATAGTTTTTCTTACTAACTAGTTTGTTCAGCTTTTCCTTCTTTAGCCAATTTAATTCCTAATGTTAGTTTTTTCACTTCCATTGGTCACGTTTAATCCGGTATGAACAAATGTGTCATTCGCTGACCTTACTGTCATAAGAGACATTGCCTCCATTCCGTCATAGTGAGTCACATACTATCTCTTAATGAGCTGTGCGTATTCATGCTGCTGTCCTTCAGGGTTCTGTGTCTCAAATAGACATAGGTTCCTTTAAAGACTAGTATCCTGCAAGATTTTTCAATATTCCTAAGAGTCCTGAAAGAATGTAGGGATGATCTAAAAATCTTTATTATTCTACGGACTGTTTGCATTAAATCATATGAAAGGATACAAAGAGGTGCTTTCTGTTCAGTCTAAAATACACATACCCTAAGCTTCAGCAGCATGTTGCCCTCTCCATCCTTGTTAAATTGCTAATTATAAGGTAATACAGTATAGAGCATATGGTTCACTGTCAATACTTTACCTTTAAAGAGTTGTTAATACTTCCATTTGTTCACAGCTGTAGGAATTATATACCTTTGATTTACGTATGTGGTAAAAAGTGCCCCTCCAATCTCCAACTCTCCCCTAATGCCCAGGCACACAAGTTTAAGTGTACGAACAAAGGGGTTTATTCAGTTCTTACAATGTTGAGTAGAACAGTGGCTCTTTGAAATGCAGTATTCCCCAAATTACTACACACAATCAGAAGTATAGCAAGACTATAGCAGAAAAACAAGCTTCTGCATACTTGCAAAAAGGAAAAAGTAACAAATCCCCCTTACTATTTAATAATAACAATCCAGAAGACCATAAGATTACTTATGCACATTAAACTTCTCTGTGACTGATTCTGCTATTTTTGCAACACTTTACTAAAGTGGTCTCTATCCATTTTCACCATCATAAATGTTGAGAGTCACTGATGCCCTGTGCCTCCAGAAACACAGAAGACTGTGGTATTCTGTGCATGCCTATTTCCTGATGAGCCCAGGCAAAGGCCACATACAATTAACACAATGTCAGTGACACATGAACTTGGGGTCAGTACCGTTACACAGTGGTACAGTGGTTATAGCATTACTGCCTTTTTTAGCACTGGGGCCCTGGATTCGGTTCCTGGGTTTCTATCTGCATGGGGTTTGTATGTTCTCCCTGTGCTTGTGTGGTTTCCTCTGGGTGCTCCAGTTTTCCCCCACAGTCCTAAGACATACTGATAGGTTTATTGGTTTCCCTGGTGTGCGTGTTGTGTGCTGCGGACATCCTGTCCATGATGTACCCCATCTTTCTTTCCGGTTCTGGCATCCCCCCGACCTTGTACTGGCTAAACAAGTTAAAAAAGGGATGGATTGATGGATTGGGATGGATTGATGACTAAACTGGAACCATCAGAATGTCTCAAGGGGTATAAAACTGTTTTAAGGCAGCACAAATTTTAAACTTGCTTTATCCCCCAAAAACTTTTATTGGGTGCAGTGGCTCGAAGACAGGGTCAAAAGTTAGAAAGGAGTGCTGCACTCACTAACTCATCAGCAACAAACACTTGTTATTATTTGGTTCCCTTTATTGGTTTCATATGGTAATCTAGAATGAAGTAAAGTTATTTTAGGAGCCTCTGCAGCTGATCGATTTGGGGAGTGTGGGTCTTCAGACCGATTGCCTTAGTGAAATGCAAAAATAAAACATGCCACGGTATTGAAATCAGTATTATTTTAATTTAGTAAGTTAGAAGGAAAGAGCATGAAGCTATTGTGCACTTTTAGAGTCTACCTTTAATATGAATGCAGCAAGCTGACATTTCACAATGAAATTCTCTTATGTATTACATGCTGAATCAGATTTACCTCTGCAGACACCACTAAAAGCCAACAATGATAAGTGCCAGGCTGCTACCGAGGCCTGCATGGACAAAGAGACAGTTCCAGGAATATGTCACTGCTCTAACTGTGATTCATTGCATCATGCTAGAGGCAGGATCCCTCCATGTAACCCAGCCTTTCCTCAGCAGGAGGAAATGGGTTGTTGTGGTCTCAAGGCCTTTTGCAGGTGGAGATATTACTCTGCCGACATTTCCTCTCAATTGAAGTCTCGGTCTACCAGTGTTGCAATACTTTTGGAAACAAATGTACACTCTGATCTTTTGGGTTGCGTTTTAAAATTTGGATTTGTATTACACCCAGCAGTACCTGATGTACTATAGGGGATACATTAAAAAAAATCGTCAGTCTTCATTAGAAAGCAGGCATGAAGTCTGTATGTTGTCCCCATATTCACATGGGTTTTCAATAGGTGCTCCAGTTTCCTCCCATAGTCCAAACACTTGCTGGTTGGTTAAATGGCCCTAGTGTGAATGTGTACAGTATGTCTGTTTGTGCCGTGTGATGGATTAGAGTTGTGTCCGTGCCGTGTGATGGATTAGCATCTCGTCCAGGTTGTATCCTGCCTTGCATCCATTGTTTGTCAGGATAGGCTGTGGCTTCCCCTATGGCCCTTTACTGGATAAGAGGAATAGAAAATGAATGGATGGATAGTGACTGAATGTCCCAAGTTTTTTTTTTTCTGTTTTTCATCACTCTTTGTGATTAATAACAGCAGTTTTAATTTCTCACAGAACTTATTTTTTCTAATTAATATCAAAGCATGTCAGTCAATGGAATGTACTCTTTCAATTCAATTCAAGATGCTTTATTGGCATGACCGATGAGTACAATCAGTGTTGCCAAAGCAAATAAAAAAATTAACATGAAACAAAACAAAAAATAAAAATATAATAAAATCTACAGATTTTACTTATCATAAAATATTTACATATACTTTAAACATATGGAGCATTATTGGGAGACAGACTCACTGTTCCTCAGGCTGTGACAGGAGATCACATACTGGGCTGCCAGTTCATCTTAGTTCCCCTCCTCCCTCTCCCACTAGGATTGGGACCCATTGTGATTCTGGCAGGTGTGGGAACTCTGGGATTAGATTTCCGAATTTAGGGAAGAATGTTTCTTTAATTCCAGAATATGTCTCACAGTACAGTAGGAAGTTCACCTGTGTCTCGATTTCTCCCAGCTGGCAGTAGGAGCACAGCCTGTCTTCTCTGGGAAGCCAGGTCTGTTTGTGTCACCCAGTTTCCATGGCCAGGCTGTGGTCACTGAGCCTGTACTTCCTCATGGTCTGTTTTTTTTTGTCAAATATTTGGCTAGTGTGTTTTGTCTGTTTAGGGTTCTGTAGCATTCCAGTTTATGTTGTGTTTGTGTGTCCCCCATTGTGTGAGATATTGCTGTTTGATCTGTACTGTGATGTGGTTGATTCTGAGTTGTGGTGCTCTAGCAGTGCTGTCCTGAGGCTGGCTGGTGTCGGTGTGGCTCGTGCCAGTGAGCCTCAGGACCAGCTGGCTCAGGGGGCTCTGTTTTGGACTCATTTCTTGGCTCAGCAGGGCTTTGCAGTGGTAGGAATTTTGGTCATTGTTTTTTAGATGTAGCCAATACTTCAATAATCTTTTCTGTTTGTTTATCAATATTGGGTACTGGCCTAATTCAGCCCTGTACCCATTGTTACATGTTTTTTCTCTGCACATGAAGGATGTTTCTACATATCTCCATGAGCAGAGTTTCTATGGGGTGTTTGTCCCATTGAGTGTCCTGGTCTGTGAGGGGACCCCACAGTTCACTGCCGTATAGGGCAATGGGTTGGACTACACTTTCAAATATTTGGAGCCAAAAATTTGTTGGTGGATTGATGTTGAAGAGCCTCCTTCTTATTGCGTAGAAAGCCCTGGGTGCCTTCTCCCTCAGTGCCTTCACTGCCAGCTCAAAACTCCCAGATGAGTTGGTGGTGAGACCGAGATATGTGTAGCTGGATGTGTGCTCCAATGTGTTGTTGTTGAGTGTGAATTTGTACCTGTTTCCCTAAGGTCTGGCTTTCTTCTAGAAAACCATGACTCTGGTCTTGTCCAGATTGACTGTCAGCGCCCAGGTCTGACTGTAGTGCTCCAGCACTGCCAGGTTCTCCTGCAGCTCCTGTTCTGTGGGCAACAGCAGGACAAGGTCATCTGCATAGAGCAGGAACTTGATTTCTGTGTTGTGTAGTATGAGACCAGGGGCTGTAGACTTTTCCAACATTCCTGCTAATTTCTTGATATAGATATTGAACAGTATTGGGCTCAGGCTGCAGCCCTGTCTCACCCCACGGTCTTGGGTGAAGAATTTGGTCTTTTTGTTTCCAATTTATACTGCACATTTGTTATCAGAATACATTGATTTAATTACTTATGTCGTAAACTTTGCCCCCTATGACACTTTGGAGTA